CTGATTCTATGAACTGAATTAAAAAAAGTCAGCTGTCCTCTAATGTGAAATGGAACCCTGGAAATGTTAATGCATGGAACAGTTGCCAGCAAAATGCCAACACTGCTGCATTTTCTGTCCTTGCTAGTTGCTCTCCCATAGTAGTGTGGACACTAGTAGCCATCTGTTTCCAGTATTGCCAGATGTAGTAGGTAAAAGACGTGATATTAGTTCCAAATCAAATACAGAAACCCTGCTATAAAATTGTAGAAGAATGCTCAGAAAATAAAGAGAGTGGATTCTGTATTTATTTGGAGTTTCCTGTATTTCATTCTCATAAAATTTGTGAAGATGTTTCCATAAAAACCAGCTTGCTGGTTATGAACATCTCTAGGGGAAGCTGGAAGTATTCTCACCAGCATTTGTTTCCAGTGTTGTCTGAGGTGGTTTTGGTAAAGTCTGTGCTTCATGGTCATCACACCTCTTCAAGTTGCAATACTCCCACCTCACACCAGGGTCGGTGGTGTAGCACCATGGACGGCCATCAGCATCTGGGTTTCTGCAGTAGTTTTGTCTCAGGTCCCTACAAATGGAAAGGTATTATATTCCTATCCATGCCACTGCTCTGTGGAGAACTCAAAAGAACATTTTAGAAAGCAGGTGTATTACAGAGTTAGCATATATCATTTATCATGTACATTCTGTCATTGCTAATTGAAATCTTTTTTCCAGCATAAAGAAATCAAGACACCTATACAGAGTATTTAAATATGCCAAGTACTTATTCATTAATTAATGCTTATAGTAGAATACCATTTAAAAATCCAGATAAGTAAATGCATACATGTATAGCAAAGATATAATTATTTTTAATTTTTCAAATACAGTAATAGTTTTTAAAAAGAAATAGTTTTTTGCATTTTGGAATAAATAAATGACAAATGCTAGGAACAAGAAAACAACTTAGCCCTTCCTCAAAGCTCTAATGACCTGTGGACAAGGAGAAAGAGACTTAAACTCATGAATAAGCTCAGTATAAGGGAAAATTTATGATAACTATTAGTTGTTTTAGAAGCAATGTAGAACACAGTTAATTAGTCTGAAGCATAATAGTGGCAACTGTGGTTCCTTTCAAGATAAGGTCAATGGAAAATGTTTCCACATTAAGAAGAAAAGGAAGAAATTATTTTTACCAAGTACACTCCCTTCCCAGCTTTAAAATCATTGTTGTGTAATGATTGCAAATCAAAACAAGTTCATGGATGATAATTGCCCAATGAAACCTGGAAATGGGAAATACACATACGCGTTTGGGAAGTTGTCTGCTGTTTTATTGTGTCGGTGAGGTGACATCGAGCTCCAGGCTTGACATTTCTTTCCCGAGAGAGTGAAAGAAGCTGTACCACGGTAAGTCACACCATTGCCGTGATAGCACTCCTCAGTAACTGGAGCCTGCTCAGGCACATCAACAGCTGTAGTGAATAACAGAAACCAGTCTCTTGCATCTTAATACTTTGTTGTGTATACATGAGCATAGAAAGCCAACAGAACACAACAAGCCAGAGTGTTTCACTGACCACCACAGCACGCTCTCTGTAGCAGAATTCTTTTCAGACTGTATATCAAAAGGAAGATTTCAAAAAATGTTTGTAAAAATTTCATGATACACCAGATTAGAGGACTTGTACATCAACTTTACTGCCACGCACGTGGATTTATTTCAGCTAACAAGCCAAATACTTAACATAAGGATGTTATCACTTACCTTTACTTCTTCAGGGTAAGTGATGGCCTGTGTCTTTGCCACAGGCTCATATGGAACGCACCTGCCTTGTGTAAGGAGAGTTTTCTTCTGATTGCTTTCCATGGAGTCTTGGTTCAATGCTCTTAAATTATCTTAGGTTTTGCTCTAGATTCAATTTTTCAAGAACTAGCATGTAAAACTGATTAACTTTTCCATGGAGAATTTAAAAATTTAGAGGTGAAGGTAATCACCGCTTGATAAAATGAAAAGACTTCTGTTACTGCAATTTTTCTGCACTCAACCACCAGACTGAACACAGGGCTCCACATCAGACCCAGGTGTTCAACTGATACATGGCAATGCTGGCAGTGACAGCAATAACACAACTGAGCAGAGTCACCCAAGATTTCTCAAAGTAAACCACGATGACCCTTCACTTCTGGTTGTCTCCTGTTCTTACCAGGGGTCTCTGGCTCTGTCCCATCACAGGAGGGGATGCTGCAATATTCCCACCGGGCAGTTCTGTTGGTGGTGTAACACCATGGCATCTTCTCACCATCAGGGTTTCTGCAGTAGTTTTCATCTAGACCCCTGAAACAGGAAACCTGGTTAACAAAGGTCTCTCACAAAGATCTATCAAAGTTTATGAACAAAAGGAGAATGCTCCTTGCATCCCAGTTTACTGTTGTATCTACTAGTGCGTAATTGCTGCTGTCATTTACTGGTGCCATCTACTATATGAATAATTGCAATTTTGGGTGTGCTAAACCAGACACCTGCTAGACTGATGGATGAATTAAGATACTGGAGTACTTTGAGGCCAAGAGCAGCACAGCAGGAACATAGCGTGAAAAAATCTAGTCCCAAGCAAATATCATAATTGTAACTGTCTTACCCCACATTGCTTCACCTGAGCAGGGAAAAAAGTCGATCAAGTAGAGTTTGAAAGTCAGAAAAGGAGACACTAGTACCCAAGAACAAAGTGAATAAAAAGAAATGTGCAAAAATTTCGAAAATATGAGATCCAGTAGGTGATGAATGCGGGTGTAACTGAAGAGCTTTGCAATATAGTTGAAGAAAACTGAAGCAATTCTGTGCCTTGGAATTTCTCATAGACACTGAATAACGGAGAGGTTTCACTTACTTGCAGGGATAGTTTTCTGGAGTGCGAGCATGTCTGTGGGGAGATTGAGAACTCCACTGCTGACAGGTATTTCCAGATTCAGTAACAGCTATTGTGCCTCGATAATCTTCTCCTCTTCCTGATAGACACTGACGTCCTGGTGGAGGAACTGGTGGGGGTGTTGCTATTACAGAAAAATGAACTAAAATTAATCAGTGCCTTCTAGACAGCAAAAAACCCAAAGCAACTAACCAAAACACTTTGAACTTTATAATTACATGGGCTTTTTAGCTTTCTTTGCAAGTTTAAATATCACAATATTTGAAAAGCCCAAAAGGCAGAGAAAAGATCTAAAGATATATTTCCTAACTTTTCATTCTCCCATTTAACTTCTTCACAAGCAGTCCAGTGACCAGAAGACCATTTGCATCTGCCCCTTTACAGGAGATACATTACAGAGCCAGATACATTACAGGATACAAAAGCCAGGATATAAAAGTGCCAGCAGCCCCATCAGAACACAGCTGGAAAGTAAGCAAGTGGTAATACTGTGAAGAAAACTGGGGTGAAAGGGGCAGGCCCATCAGTGATACATACAGATGTAGGTACAGATGTAAAAGAGAAGTACTCTTAAGTAGTGAGAGACAGAAAGGATGAGGTCTGGTGAGAAGTCCCAAGGAAAAGTATCATGGCAAGCCACAGGCCTTTAGAGAAAAAGAGAACTGAAAAGGTGGAGAATTGATTTGGAAGAGCAAAACAGAAGCCAAAGGATTTTCAGGAAGAGTGAAGCTGTTGAAAAGAGGAATACCAAGAAGAAACACCAGAACTGCTGAAATGCCTGGTCATGGAAAAACACATCAAGGAAGGGAAATGTGACCATGCAAAACCATTAGAAATACCTGTGACAAAAAAGTCTAGCCTCAAAAGAGCTATCAAAGGTTCATTTCAAGGTGATTAATTCACTGAAAGAATTCACTGTTGAGAAAATTCAGCAGTCTTTTATTCTTTCCTTTATCTTTGAGCCTCTTCTGTTTGTTCTAGGTCCTTGCACCACCCTGATTCGAAGCTGTCTAGATTTCTTTGTATCTAGATGTAATTGTATCTAGAAGTCTAGAAGTCAGACTCACTGCAACGAGGAATGTCACAATATTCCCAGCGTTTAGTTGGGCTGGTAGTGAAACACCAGGGTCGAGGTTCACCATCGGGATTACGGCAATAATTCATCTTTAGATCCTTCTCTGGAAAACTGAACAGGAAAAATAAGTTTTAAGATATGTCACTAATGGCTGTAACAATTATTCTGTCAGGTTCAGGGTGGTCTTCAGACCACTATGAACAATAAATAGACCATCACAGAATCAGACTCACTTTTCTGGGAGGTATCCATGAGAGTGAGGTTTCTGGGAGTCCCAGCGCTGGCACTCAAGCCCAGACTCTGTTGTTGAAACTACTCCATGATAGTTTTCTCCACTGCAGTGCATGCACTCTACTGTAGGAACAATGCAGAATGAGAGCAAGAGAAACAGAAAGCCCTGGAGGAATTGGTCCATAAACAGTCATACTCATCTGACATGAAGCTCAAGAGCCTGAGCAGAGCACAAAGCTGAAGAACAGTCTTTTTTTTTGAAAATTAAAAGCTTATTTTCCTTGGTAAAATGCCTTTAGCTAGTTGATTACATTTATACTTCTTCATTTAAAAAAAGTCAACATAATAGACTATAGTTTTTAAAAGAGCTGAATTTAAACTACTAAGTGGTATTTTAAAATCTATGCCTTGCTACTGTCATGTTTTGTTGAGTTTTGCACTAGCAACTGTCATGTGGTTGAATTCTAAGACTATGATATGTGA